ACTAGCATGAACATGATAACTGCTGATTTATCATGAACATCGCAAACCAAAAAGGCAAGATTCAGCCACTCTGCAGTCAATGCACAATCAAACAAATGAAAATATTCAAGCACAATATTAATGTAAGAAAGGTTATCCGAAGAATACAAGACTAAAAAATGCAGACCAAGCAGAGTCCATAGACAAACCTCATCTGTGCTAAACTGCTAATACTCTTTTTCTTTCATTACAGCTGCTAAATGTGCAAGTGCTTCCAGGTAACGAGAGGTAACCCCTCCCTGATACTTATTACCTTTCTGTTGGATGATGACTTGAGAACATTCCAATGCATCTCGAACCATACCTTTGCTGACAAAACAAGAAGGGCAATACCAGTTGCCCTCAGGGATCCTTGCCAGTGGAGGATTCAAGCAATAAGTATGATACTATAAATAATAAGTAGAGTTAGGGGCTTCAACTATAAATAAAGGGTCACCCCACTCTCCTTTGTATATCATCAGACACTTTACTTCAATAATATACAGTGCATATTCCAGCAATTCTCTTTCTCTCTCAAACTCCATCACTACTAAACTACCTAATCTTACGACCCACCAAACTGCCTAATCCTACCACCACTAAAATTTTCATGACTGGTAACCCAATCACCCACTATAAAAAATCAATCAATCAAGAACCAAAACCCAAAATACCCGAAACTGAATAGACCATCAAAATACAAAAAAGCATAATTAGGCTAAGATCAATCATAATAAGTAGTGGTGGTTGTGACTTACGTCGACGGAACGATAGTGATCAAAGAAAAGGGTTTTAGGTACAAAATTCTTGACTGAAAATTTGAGGTTGAAGAAAAGAAAAAGCAAAAACAATATGCACTTTTACATGATTTCAACCACTAAGATTTCAAGTCAACACATACAAAGTGAATGCAAAAATATATACAGCCTAATGTTATTTTATTTTAAACAAAAGAAAAATAGATGAAAAAAAAAAATTCAACTAACATGCACTTTATCTTGACAATTCATGCAACATAACATATACAAAAGTTAATTTCAACACAAGAAAAATCAATCATTGCAAAAATGTAACTTAATTTTTGTTTTTTTTCTACAAAAGATGAAGGTAAGATTCTAACTACATGTTAGCTTCCTTATGATCATTATATGTGGTTTTAAAGTTGATAGCCTAAAAGTTCTCAAATTGTTCTTCACATTCTTGTCCATCACAAATTAGTGAGACACTCTGATTCTTGCATTATAGCCTACAAGTAAAAAGGTTTCAATTTGAGTAAAAGTATTTTGTTAGACACTGTAAAAGCATTAAAATCTTATAAAAATATATGTATTTTACTCCCTCCTAGAAAGACAAAACTCGAGTATAGAACTTATGTTATATATATGCATATGAATAATATAATAAACAAATAAATAAATAAACAAAAAACTTTTTAAAAAATTAATTTATTAAACTTTTGGATAACACAAATTTATTTGTTGGCCTGATTCTCGGTATATCCCCAATAAAATCGTTAAGCTGTCATAATGTTTAGGTCGCTAGACATTAACTTAAGAAGTCGTCATCAATCTTTATTATTTCGGTGCGTTAGCCATCTAACTGAATCTGTTCTATTTTAAAGATAAATCCTAAATTTGACTCAAGTATCTTTAAAAGATAAATTTAATATCTATGAAACCAAAACTAAGTTCGAAAGTACAGTTATGTGTGAGAAAAATTATAGCACCCTTACAACGCTCATCAAAAGATGGTACCAACTTCATCTCGTGTTATCAATTGAGCCCAAAAAATCTTACCAAATAGTTAATTATTGAAAATTATTTTTAATTAACTCTAATACTTTTAACAAAAAATTAAAAAAATTCTTTTACCTTAAGAGTATACACAAAAATTACTTTTCTCTTATAGGGGCTTCGTCATCAGATTATTTAACGTTAAAAAATCCATGAAAAAGGAAAATTAATACTTCAACTTTTTCTTAAGATTTATTTTTTTTAATTTTATTTTTTTAAAAAATGCTTTTATTTAAGGAAAAATTAGTATTTTCAACTTTTTTCCCAAATATATTTTTTGAAATTGAAAAGATTTTTTTTTAAGAAAAATTGATACTTTCAACGTTTCCTTAAATCGTTTATTTTGAAATATATTTTTTAAAATTTTTATTTTTTAAGAAAAATTGACACTTTCAACTTTTCCTTAAAACCCTCTTTTTTATTAATTTTTTTTAAAAAAATTGATACTTTCAACTTTTTCTTAAAAATTTTTCTTGTGAAATTTATTTTTTGAAAATTTTTTTATTTTCTAAGGAAATTTGATACTTTTAACTTTTCCTTAAAACCCTCTCTTTTATTATTGAAGTTATTTTTTGTTTTTAATATTTTAACTTTTCTTTATTTTTGAAAGTAATTTTATTCTTATAGAAAATTCATTCAAAAAATATAGATATTAATAAATGAGTAAAATAATAGAAAAAAATAAAAAGACTGAATCACTTCGCTTAATTAGAAATTTAGCTCAGCTTGGCACAAGATTAGAGCAGCTAGTAACTTGGTCTTTTTCTGATAATCTAAAATGTTGTGTTTAGGAAAACATTAACCCTTCAAGTTTTTCTTATTTATTTTTTTCTATAATTTTCTTCTATTTTTTTCTTTCTACAAAATTAGTTAAGAAACTCAAGCTTTAAGAAAATCAATGAGATTTTTCCATATTTTAGTGCATCATCGACATTATCGCTTCCTTAGGTCACCACTACCAACTTTTTTTTTCTTCAACCTCAAAATTCTAGTTAAGAATCTTGCACCTGAAACCTTACTCTTTGATCGCTATCATTCCGTCAACATGAGTAACAATTACCACTACTTAGTATGACTGATCTTAGGATAATTGTGGTTTTTCGTATTTTGATGGTCTATTGAGTTTTAGATATTATGGGTTTTGGGTCTTAACTGATTGATATTTTGTAATAGGTGATTGCATTACCGGTCATGACAATTTTAGTGGTGGTAGGATTAGGCAATTTGGTGGGTCATAAGATTAAGCAATTTGGTGCCGATGGATTTTGGCTGATAGCTTTCTTTTTTCTTGTGTTTTTTGCTATATTCTTTTTTGTGAATTTCTCTCTGTTCAAATGTGTTGTATTGATTATTAGAGAAGTTGGATTATGGATTGGGGCTGTTAAAGGTTGTGGTTAGGAATGACACTCATGTATGAAAGGCTTGGTGGTTGTGGCTAAAGGATAGACTATTTGGCAATGCTGTGGTAGATTAAAGACTCTTATGGTGCTTATGATGGAGGTGGTATTATCGTGGAGAAAAGAACAAAAATGAGGTGGAGCTGCCAATAGTTTTTCTATATTTTTCACTCTAACGCTTTTAGGTTTTGCTCTGTATTTTTCATATTGTGTGTTTTTTTCATTTGGTATTCTGAACAACTATTTAAATAACTTGAAGATATGATTTCAAGAAAAAAAAAAAAAACTGAACATCCTATCTCTTATAATCTAAATTTTGAGTTCAAAAACACTAGAATTTTAAAAACTTAATCCAATATTCCAAATTTCAAACACAAAATGTTATCACTTAATTTATCCATTTTTTAATTTATTTTCAAAATAATGATAAAAGTAAAAATAAATAAATATAACAATAAATCAAATTGATTAGGTCTAATGCCCAAAAACCCAGAACGAAATAAGATGTCTACAAATTTTATAAAAAAATATGGTCGATAGTCATATCTAGATTAAATAATTCAAAACATGATATGAAAACTATACAAAAAAATAAAAATGACAAGACTTAAAATTTTAATAAAATCTTTATATGAGTTTAATAAAAATAAAAAAAATATATTTTATATTAATATAAATTGTGAAACATATTTTCATGTAAAATACAATATTATCATATATAATTTCAAGTTTGCCGAAAATAATGCGTGAACACATTTCTAGTAATATGTTAATTCTTTTGCATACATAATACTCAAGTTGATTTTTTTTTTTAATTTAGGCAAAGGAACAAAAAAAATTATAAACGAATAATTGCATGACAATAAAAAGAAGATGGAATTGACCTGCCATTTATCTGAAATTTAAAGAAATTGAGGGAAAAAAAAAAAAAAAAAAAAGAAACCCCAAAAGAAGGGACAAAAGAATATGGTTTTCGTTAAGGCCTATGGATAAATCCTCATGTCCCCTCAATAATCGCAGCCCAAGTTTTGCTGCACCGACACTGGTTTCCCATGTGAAATGTTTTACAACCAATATTTTGTTTATTTATTTATTTTTAATGAAACATATAATCTTTTTCCAAAGAATAACAAAAAATTTATGTCCAAATTATTGGTTTATGAAGTTGCTAAGAACAGTTGCACCTACTCATCACTATTATATAAATTGATTATTTTGGCTTATAATTGTTAAATATAATTTTAAATCATAATTATTTTATGTATACATGCATATATACATTTAATAATACAATTAAAAATATTTTTTATTTTTGTCAAAGTTTAATTTTCTTTTCAAACAATGGAAGAGTAACATTTTTTTTATCAACTTAGTGTATTTTAAATTTTATTTATAAAATGTTTTTTTTTAAAAAAATTGAACATAAATAAAAAAAGCTTAGGATAAATAAATTTGAATCAGATTGAAATATTATTTCAATCAAAAAATAAATTTCATTTTGAAAAAGAAAATCTCATAAAAATAATATTTAATTAATGATGAATTTAAATAAAGTTAGATATACATTGCCTCTTTAATTGAATCCCAAATTAAAGGTGCCAATTCTTTTCAAACGATGAAGCATCATTTCAAAATTTCATTTTCTAATGTTGGGGCGTCGAGTTAAAAAAAATTACTATTACTGTAAAAAAAAATAAAATTAGTAAAATTAAAATTTTAATTAAAAAAATTAAACTGTGGCATTTTCGCTATTTAAACAAAGACCAAGGGTGTTTACAAAATAGAAATTAATTTCAACAACGAGAGAGAGAGAGAGAGAGAGAGAAAGAGAAAGGCCGTCTCTCACATGCAATAAACTCGCGTCCGCCGGCCCCGGTTGGATTTTCTCCCAGACATCGTCTAAACCGGCGTCGTTTTAGATCAAAATTTTTTCTTATATAAAATAGTCCCTCCATTTTGACCGTAGTGTCTTAACGCAAGCTACAGTATTCGACGATTGCTTCGATTTTTCTCTCTCTTGTAAACACACTCTTTCTCTCTACTTTTTTTTTTTAATTTTGATTTTTGTTTCTCTAAATTTAATTTTCGAAGAAAAGTTAGGAATCAGCGAAACGTTTCTCGGCGAGATATTTTTTTAAAAAAATTTTCCTTTATTTTTATTTTTTTAAATTTCTGTAATGACATTTTCGACGCCTAGATCTCTCTGTTTGCTTTGATGTTTATTTTTCTTGTTTTTAAATTAACTTCTAGTGGAAATTTCAGAAATTTTGCTAATCGGTGGATTTGGATCCATATTTAATCAAGTTAATGGAGATTCACTTAGGTTTATCTGTTTTTTTGTTGATTATATCTGCAATGTGAAGAATTTTGATGCAAATTTATGTATAAATTGTTTAAATTAAGTAGTTTTTTTTTTTTTTTATGTGTGTATGTGGTGAAATGATGGTAAATTTGGTTGAATGGAGGTTTTGGAGTAACTAATCACTGTAATGTTTTCGGATTTTGGTGATGATTTTGAAGTGGAATTAGGCAGTTGGCTGGCTCATTTTCACCGAATTTGTGAAATATAGGTTAAAATTGTTGGTAGTTAGGCTGTACAGTAGGCATTATATGAGCAAATTGTTGAAAATTAGATGAAATTTGTAGTATGAAACATGCAAAAGAATTGAAAGTATGATAATCTGAGAAAGTGAATGATGGGGTAGTCATTGACTAAGAAAAGAAGGAGAATTTTACTGTTTTCAGCTATTGAGTTCTCTAAGCCAAGCGATTAATTTAATTTCATTGTCAGTTTTGTTAGTGAGGTTGTACATAGTTGATCACTGTCATAGTATAATGTGTTGATGCTTATCTATTCTTTCCTCTTTTGGTTTCAGACTAATTTCTATGATGTCGGGGAATGCTTTAAGAGATCTCAATGCTTTACCTACGTTTGAGAGGAAGAATGACAGCTCTAGTAAAGGGAATATTACTAAGCCTTGCAATGGGAACACAATTGAAAATTTTGAAGAGCATCAGAAGAAAAGGCCTGTTTCTGTTGATATAAATGGAGGCGAAACTGTAAATTCTGGAGTAGAGGTAGCTAATTTGGAAGTAGAATACATTGAATCTGAGAACTTGAGTGACTTAGAAGATGTTGATACATGTCTTAAGGTATAATTTTCTGCTTTCTTTTTCTTACACTTCATGTTCTGATATTTGGTGGTCAACGGTTTCTGCTAATATGCATGGTTATATATATCAGAAGCTCTTAGCTGGACTTGACTCTAAAGATTGGGTTCTGGTTGTTGAAGCACTCAATAATGTTCGCCGATTATCAATTTTCCATAAGGAAGCAATGCACAGCATGCTGTAAGTTACAAATTCTTGCATGAATATCTGACTGGAAAGACTAGAGGATGGGGTTTTAATCTAATTTTTCCATCAGTTACCATTGATTTAGATTTAACTTGACTAGCCTATTTCTTTCCTTGTTCTAATGTGCAGGGGAGATTTAATCCCTCTTGTAGTTAAGTCCTTGAAGAATCCAAGAAGTGCTGTTTGTAAAACTGCAATTATGACATCTGCTGACATTTTCAGTGCATATAATGATGATTTGATTGATTCTTTAGATCCCCTGGTACTTTCACTTTCTATACAATTTACTGCCACGTTAGTCTGGGTGCTTGTCTACCTTTTTGATACCAGTGAAGGAATTCTGGCTCTTCTGATGTGTTGAATTTGATTGATACAGCTTTTACAGCTTCTTCTTAAGTCTTCACAAGACAAAAGATTTGTATGTGAGGCAGCTGAGAGAGCTTTAGAGGCAATGACTACTTCAGTTTCCCCTATGTTGTTGTTGCCCAAGTTGCAACCCTATGTTAAGAACAGAAATCCACGAATTCGAGCAAAGGCATCAATGTGCTTTAGTCATAGTGTTCCACGACTGGTAGGCAAATGATATTTGATATGCTTACTGCTATTTTGTTTGTTTGGAAAACAGGGGTTTGTTTTTCCGGTTGTAATCATGTTTAATTTGTGCGATTGACGTGGATGGTATCCTTGTTTACTATATTTGCGGCAACATAAAACATCCAAATTCTAATTATGAATTAGCTAAATTCATTCAAAAGTAGTTAGTGTGTAGCTATCTATGGATATTTATGGTATACAAAACTACTGTTAATTTTTCTCATTCTATTTCTGGCCAATTTGTCCTGCATGCCTAGTAATATTTGGAAAGAAGCCTCCGTTACCCTCTTTGTTCAATTATTTTCATCAGCATTTGCACCATTTTATAAGATTATATATATATATATATATATATATATATATATATATCTGTCTAATAGTTTTCATTCTATTCTTGGCTAGTAAACTTTTTTCCTTACATGAAAAATTTTCTTCCTTCACTTTTCTATTATGTTAATGCAGTCATTTTGATTTTGCAGGGCGTTGAAGGAATCAAAGAATATGGAATTGACAAACTGATACAAGTAGCTGCATCTCAGCTAAGTGACCAACTCCCGGCGTCTCGGGAGGCTGCTCGAACCCTTCTTTTGGAGCTGCAAACTGTATATGAGAAATCCCATGGCCTCTCAACAACAATATCTGAGCATCCAGAGATGGACACTTGGGAGAACTTTTGTCAGTCAAAGCTCTCTCCTTTAAGTGCACAAGCAGTGCTTCGTGCCACAAACATTCCTCGGGAAGGTCTTGTTATCGGTTCCTAACAGTGAGTTTTATATAGACCATACATGAGTTTGTAGCAAGTAATGCCTTTTTAATGATACTTACATTCACGAGCTTTAGTGAGCACATATTGCTTTGGTTTTGGTTTTATCTTTTTATCCTTGTAAATTCTCTCGAATTCTTGAGATATCTTCGATCTTGGTTACGAAATTAGTTGGATTGGAATTGTACGAACGATATTCATTGCATATGGTTCCCTCTTGGGTCTTGATCTTCCTCATTTATGTCATGGATTGCAGAAATAGTTTATTTGCTTGAGCCTTTTTGCTTTAATCTCATAGCAGAATGTTCTACCAGCAGTTTCGTTTTTATACGCCGGCATTGAAATTTTTTAACTTCACAAATGACACGTATTTTATATTTTTAATATAGGGTGTTTTTACGGTGAAATTTAAAATCTCTACTATAAAATAATTTCCTTAATATAAATTATGATTGCTCTTGCGGATCTAAATGAAGCAATGATGTCAATTATTGAGTGGTCATCTAAGAGTTGGATTCTAGTTTAGATGTCTCAATCATACTAAAACATCTCTTTTAATATTTTACGTTTATTGCCCTCTTATCAATTTCTCAGCTACTGGCTATGGCTCGTGGGTATGCCATAGCTGGAAGATTTAAGAATATGTTTTTTCCTTTTTTTTTTTAAATAAAATTGTAAAAGCATTAATTAAAGCAACAGATAATTTATCTATTTATTTTATACAAGTTAGATGTGAAATCAAACTTGCTTTTTCCTCTCTCTAGTTGATTCCATGTTAAAATATTATATTATATTTTAATTTTACAATATTTATAATTTCATTTAACTAATTTCATGGTATTTACAAATGGATCCCTAGATTATGGAATCTGAATCATTAACTTGAGACATGGAGCAACTCAAAATGATAGTGTGAGGACAAAATCACCCTGCCTTGTTACTTGGAAAAACATTTGTGCTTGCTGAATTATGGGGCATCTTCGAAGTGAAGCCTGCCTGAATTCGGCCTAAATGGTCAATGCTGCCAATCAAACTGAGCAAAAGTAGGGCTGAAAATGAAGAGCAGAGTTGTCCCTTCACTTGGAGGGCATTTAATTTGTCAGAAAAAAGAAGTGGTCAGAGTACACGAAGCCAAATAATGATTAAAAGAACGATAATGAAATTAGAGAGAGAAATGACAATAAAAACAGAAGAAAAGTTTGAATCATCAATCTTCCAATGATTTTGAGTTTGCATGTAAAATATTTAAATTTGAATCATTGATTTTTTTTAGTGAATGATTTATAAATTTGAAAAACCTTAAAAAGAAAATTCATAAATCCTTTTATATGTTGGTGGTTTGCTTGATCTCAAAGCTGGAATAATCTTTTCTGCCTTTAAACTTAGAAAAAAAAAAAAATCTTCCTATGATTTTGTCTCCAACTGTAAATCTTTGGTCTTTTTCCACCCACCCCATCACGGAAATTATCTAGTCGACATTAAATAATTGATTAATCTTTCATTCTTGCCACATTGAAACAGGTCACCTGTTTACATTGGCTTGAACCCCTTTTTTATCTCTAGAAAAATGCAGAAAAACACCTGATCAGATCAGATTTTTGCTAGTAACTTCAATCAAACCAAAATTTCCATTCCTTTTGAACAAAAATCTTATCACCATGTCACTTCTGTCATGTTTCAGCTTGTTATCATCTTCTGAGGTATGAAAAAGACTGCATTTTCTTTCTTTTGTGCTATGAACATTTATGTATGGTAAATTCATGACAATCAAAGGGATTTAGAGAAGATTCTGATGAGTAGTAAACTTCTGGAGGCTAAAATACACATTATGATAATGACCATTGTAATAGCTGTGATTCTGCTATTTTTGGGTGTTGGAGCGCTGGTGATATTACATGTATGTATAGTAGGAATAGCCTTCATGATGGGATTCGGAAACCCTGGAAGATTTGACAGGAACAGCAGCAGCAGCAGAAACAGTAACATGTCCCAGGATGATTTACAGAACCTTCCTTGCCACAATTACATAGCAAAAGTCAATGGAAGTAGTCCAGTGGATTGTGCTGTCTGCTTGGAAAACTTCAAGATGGGTGAAAGTGCAGGCTGCTGCCTCTATGCAGGCATAGTTTCCATGCAGAATGTGTGGATTCATGGCTTCTGAGAAACCCATTTGCACATTTTGTCGAGCCAATGCTGATTCAGGCGAGGCTGGATTTGTCTTAGGTGAGGAAAGTAGTCATTTCAATGAAAATGTTGTCGAGTTGAGAGAGAGCCTAAGTAGGGAAGGTATTCATTTGGAAGATGTTAGAATTGAAATTAGAGGTAACCAAATAACTGAAGGTAGCAATGTTACTGATAGTAGCCATGAATCAAGAGAAAACCAAACAAATTTAGTTGGGATCCATTCTGAGTTTTGCAATTGAAATTACTAGTACATTATAATATATATATATATATATTTTCCACAATGTTGTAAATATTTTGGTCCGTAAAGGAAAACCTAGTGGATTAATTAAGAGAATGGTACATAGTTACGACAGTATCAGTCATGATTAAGGATTGCAAAAATATGTTATACATCAAATTTAAAATTAATTTTAATTGATAAAAAATAATTTAAATAAAAAATTAAAAAATTAAATATTTATTTAATGATAATATTATTTTAACAAGTTTTCATTGTATATAAATTAAAAAAAAAAATTTATTCCGTGATAAATTTAATAAAGATAACAAAAAAATGGATAAAGACATTTAGAGGGGATTTTTGTCCCTAACTGCACCGTTGGGTAATGCTTCAGCGGTGTAGTTGGTGGAGGCCAAAATCCTCACTGCCATTTCAGTCTTCAACTAAGATGGGAAGGATTCAGTGAATGATTAGACCCTAAAACAGTCGGCTGACTGTCTAAGACAATAGATTGTTTTAGTATAAAATTAAAAAAAAAAAAAGATTTTTAATTATGACAGTTGATTGGCTAAAAAAAAATTATGACAATTTATTGTCATACCCAATCTCATTGAGTTTATACTCAAACACGTATTTTTATTATAGATTTTAATTTTATTATTTCAATACCTAATTTAATCATCACTGTTATTTTTTCTCATGGGATTCTTGTCATTTTTTCTGCTGAAGATTGTTGTCTATATCTTGATCTTGTTCCCCACATTGATTTTTTTCCCTTAATGTCACAAGAGGGAAAACTCTCATACGGTAAGTTTCATAATCATAGCCATTCAGTCTGTCATTTTGCTTATAAATTTAGGTTCTGAGCTTATAACTGTTTTCAAGTTTCAACAATGCCTAATGGGAAAAGCTTAACGTACTCAGCCAGATAGCTGGGAAACACTAATAATCACTTGGGAAAAATGGTGGGTTTTTATCTGATAAACCACAAAAGTTGAGTAAGGAGTCTTGAATTCACTCAAAAATGGTGGAAACATCCATTGCATTATGATCTTCTAGATGGTTGATAATGTTTTTTTTTTTTTTTTTTTTCTTTTTTAATTAGACTGAAAAAGAAATGTGGGACAAATTACATGACTGAAAATGACGTAACCTTATCAAGGGTTCTGATAATATCAGAAGTAGTACTGGTAATGGAGGATTGATGAATTGACTAGTCATGAGATATGGTGAAATTCATCCATGATTAAGCCTGCAAATCCTCATTTCAAGTTCTTTATCTTACCATAGGTGGCTGTGGGAAATATTTATCTGATACTTTGAACTTATATAAAAGATTTTGTTGTTTCTCTTTATAGTGGGTACAGAGTGGTGGAAGATTTGAATATAGACCGAACTTTGAGTCATGGAGAGCACATCAAAAGAGCATTTACATTTATGTTATTGAAATTCACTGAAATTTAAAAGCTTAAATTATTGGGTTAGTGAATCTTCCACGTATATTTCACTTTAGATCTCACTTTTTAATAATATGGATATTCCACTTACATGTAAACTTCAACAAAAATTTCAACAATCATTGGTGCCACTTCATGTTTCTCCATTTTGGTGGCTGTAATTTCAATTATGATTAAACAAGCCACAATATTAATGTTAGTGATGTTATACCATTCCAGGGGCTTTACCATTTGTATATATATGACCAGGAAACCGTCCCTTCATTGCTAAGTCTCTTGCTGGCACTTACGCTTCTATCATTGACATCCCTCACGTACCTTAAAGCATCCCCGAAATTTTAGTTGATGTCAGAGTTTAATATCCTCGTCTCGATAAATCTTGAAAATTTATTATAATATATAAGTAGATATTTAAATATAAATTTGTAATATACATTTTATGATATAAAATTATAAAATTTTTAGATTAAAATAGATAATATTTTACAAATTTGTGTGAATTTTCATAAATAATATCAGAACGATTATTAATCGAATAGAAGCTAAGTGTTATATCATGTGAGTCACTTCTAAAATTTAAAGAATTATTTCTAAATCTCAAAAAAGTTAAGTACTACATGATGAAAATCATCTCTAAAATTTTAACATTTAATGTGATTCTAGTTCTATAATTTTTATGTGTGTGGTTTTATAATTTTATTTGTACTTTGTGTTGAACTTGACGACAATGTCAAGTTTTAATAGGAGAATTTGTGACATCTTAATCTCATTTTGAATATTGAAAAATTTAAAAAATTTGTTATGATATATAAATAAAAGTTTAAATTAAAACTTGTATCATAACTTAAGTAGAGATTTAAACTTAAATTTGTGATGTACTTTTTGTGAGATAAAATTATGAGACTTTCGAATCAAAATAAATAATACTTTATAAATTAGATAAAATTTTTATATTAAGAGCACTGATGCACTACCTTCAACGTTACTCTATTAGGGATGGTGGATAATAGGAGTCAGAAGAAGCCTTAACCCAACATTTTTAAAAATCCCTTACTTCTATATGTACTCGTATTAAATACATTTAAATTAATTTTTAAATTAAAATTATGAATTTTTTTATGATTTTATTGCTTAATTTATATATTATAATTTAAAAGGTATTTAAATTACATTCTATATATTATAATATAAAAGGAATTTAAATTACGTTAATATTTATATATTTTATTGTACCTAAATATCATTATTTGAAAATTCTTGAAATTAGAAGGCTTATCATAAGTTTTAAATCACAATAATGTAAATTTAATAAAAATCAAATTAAAAATTTAATTTTCTCGATAAGATTCTAAATTTTCGATAACTATCATCTGTGTTTTTCTTTTTCTTTTTATTTTTGGGTACAAAAAAAAAAAAAAAA